AATGTCTTGGAAAATTCCTGCATCAGTTTGCTCCAATACAATGCACTAATAGAATAAACTGCAAGTAGTGTTGCACCAAGAATAAACCCACACATGGAGGAATGTAAGGGTGGGGACAAGACAAGGAAAGTAGCTTTTGATGCAAGTCACAACAGGCTGAGTGCATAATTAAAGACGAGTCTTGTGCATTTGAATTGGCAAGATCTTCTGTATGTCCTGGAGGATTAACTGTGATCATAACCATGTTAAGTCAGAACTGTCACTTTAAGCTCCTGCATGTCCACAGAAACCAAGTCACAATCCATAGCTCAGAGGTAGAGTCACTGTATTTGTGGACACTTGTTAAAAGGGAAAACTCTTAGAAATTGAACTCTCACACTGCAACTTTATTTTTTTTAAAATAAAATGTCCTCAAAAAACCCAATTATGTCTGACAGAGTTTTTTTTTTTTTTAATGACATCTGCTTCAAACTTGTTTGCTTCAAAGTGACCCAGAAAGGGAATGACTGCTGCCCACTTGATCGGTCTTCTTTGAAATCTGCTTCATGGGAAAACGCTGAACTCCTGAACACAACTCACATGACAACTCCCCCTTCCCCAAACACTCCCCTCACACGGTTCTCCAGTCTTTGTGTCTTGTTGTGTGTGCATTTCCCTCCCTCCTGACTTTCCATCCCACCTGTAGCTATGTATACCCTGCTGCTCGGTTGACGCACAGAAAGTTCAACCTACTGGACAACCTTCTGCATTCGCCGCATTGCATTGCACTCACAGGCTCTCGCGGACGCTGTGTTTGGCAACAAGCACATGCAGTCATGCGGCCCTGATCGCACACACGTTGCACATTTACACACATAATAAATATATCCACTTGTAAACATAAAGAGTCATCACAAATCCCACGGTGATGTCAATCAACAAGTAGCGCGACTTTAACAACATAACTGTCACTGAATAAGTGGAGGAAGTACACACATGCAAACTGGTGCCAAACCACTTATGCTTGTGCCCATGCCTGGATCTAGCTTTTCCAGTGTGGCTGTGTCTCTACTTGTACTCATTTTCCTATTGCTACCGACAAACCACCACGAACAAAATCTAAGGTATCCATATAACACTTGAAATGTCTCTTCACGGTCACACCCAGTGTTACAGTAGTTCCTTTGGGGATGCTCATTTACCCACTCTGTGTGCTTTGTCAGTAGCCATGCTAAAAAGAAATGGGACAGGTAAGGTGATCCATGGGAAAGTGCCTCGGTGGATTAGGGTTAGGTCTCTCTGGATGCAACGTACAGAGTGCGGTCTTTGTCTTGCTGCAATCAAATGCACTAGAGTTTGATTTCTAATCAGTGAGGACAAGTCCCTTTGGGTTTCAAGCTGCATTGGAAAAAGCATTTTTGAGCAAAAGAAAGCAGTGAGATGAGTGTCCCTGTAGAGACGCTCAAAGAGCTGACATCAGCTTTTGCACGTGGTGATGCATGTGCTTAAAACAAAAGAGCTGCTTGAAATTAGGTAGAAGATTACAGCATGATGGCAAATACAAAACATATTACCATAGTTGCATAAGTAGAGGACAAAAAAGAAAAAAATTCTACGAACTGTCTGGCTAATGTCTGTTCCATAGCAGTATTAATCTTATCTGAAAGCAAACATTAGCTTCCATAAGCTACTGGTCATATCAGGCTGTACCTGATAAATGCCAGAGGGTATAGAATTGGGCAAGGATGTGACTTTATTGCTAATGCATTCACTGTTTCACTTCTAATAGTAAGAATTCAAACTCACTAAGTTTTGAGTCTGATTTATGCTTCCCTCTTGTGTCTTATATGATTTTTTTGTCCATCAGTGTCACCATATAAGCATCGAAATGTCTTAGATCTTCCCTTTATCGACAGGTGATATTATTATCGCCAAACTGTCATATTTCAACATGCGTACAACACAACGCAATAAACTGTAACTCTTCACTTCAGGATGATTGCAACAAATCTTTTAATAACACTGAAATGAGCTCAAAGGGCAGCAGACAACTGCCAGAATGTGGCGTGATGTGTGACATTTTCAAACACCAACAAAATGTGTTTGTGTGTGTTGCAGAGGGCAGAAGGAAAACCCCTTCAAAAACATGAACATTTATCCTGCACTATACTTAGTTTTTCTCTTTTTTTTTGGTATGTATTTATGATGTTCTCAGAGGCAGCACCAGACAGTGGGCTGACTGAATTTACCAACACAACTTCAGGCCTTATCTAATCTGCAGCATGTTGACTGACATTGATTTGTCTGTACTATTACAGATTCACACCACGTGTGCAAATGGCCTAAACTTGACTGCACAGTTGGCAAGGTCAGGGTTCAACTATCAGAAGTTGAACAATGCAGTTGAGAGAGCGCCTATTAGAGGTGTGTGAGTAAACACATAGGTGTGGGGGTAGGAGATAAAGCTGCATTGTAGATATATGTTTGAGCTCGTTGAGGCGGCAGATTTCATACCTGTGTGAGGTGTGTTAAAATGTGCGTGCGTGAGGAAAGATGGTGTTTGTGTAATGGCAAAAGCAAATATTGCAAATGTCTATACATCTCCAGTAATCCAGAGGCTCCTACCAGAGACACAGATAAGTATTCAAGCCAGTGGCAGCGTATGTATACTGCATATGTGTGCTGTAGGCTTCCTGGAATGTGTGCTCAGCTAAACTCGGAACATATACTGCCAGAGCAGGAATCGCTTTGCAAATAAAGGCCTGAGTCAGAGAACTTGAGAAACCCTCAGGCAGTGAGCAGGCAATCTCCAGTCAGCCACATAAGAAAAGACGTTGCTTTTTCTTTTTTTTTCTTCTACCACCCATGAGGAATGTTGTGTGTGCTTCCATTTAGCAGTCAGGCTATATGCGTATCCATGTTGAAAGAAGCAAAAAACGGTGGCTTTGACCTGTCCTCACTGATGGTCAGTACAGAGGAAGGTGGTCACTCTGAGCTGATACCAATACGCAGGACTTGTGAAGGTTGCAATAGAGTATGACCGATCAGAGATAGCACAGTTGCAAACACGCGCATTTGCCAAAATACACAACGGCTGCAAAAGAAGTGTTTGTTCATGGGGCGGAGATCACCTGAATTTAAGCTACACTCCACATCACACTGCTGCAAAGGTGTAAAAGCTGTGCACTATATTCTTAATGGCTGTGCGTATTTTCAAAGTATATTTTAGCAAGCCGTAGCTTAGATTTTAAGTGGATTATTCTATAACTTAAACTTCTGTATTATGTCTTCGTCTTTGTAGCTCCTGTTTATGTTATATAAGCCACTGCAATGCCAGAAATATAATTACACTCATGTTAGGTATTGCTGTCTTCTGTAAATACATTTTAAAACTACGTGATATTTTGCTTTTATATGTAGAATGTGTGATTTTGTTTGATGGTACATATGAATTATCAGGTCAAAACCACAAATCGAGGGGAAGCCCTTTAAGGCAATTTTTAAAATATATTTGTTGAAACTAGGATGATTTAAGAACCCCCACAAATAACCTAAGTGAAATACAGAAATGAATGCAAAATGAAAGCGATATCCATTTTTTAAAAAACTGTGAAAATCTTGCAGCGTGCCAGCAAAAAAAAAAATTTTTTTTAAAAGACAGACATATTGAAGAAAAAAATGCTGAGAGTCTGGCAACAAGAGTGGCATAAAAAATATGTTAAAAACTGTGCTATAAAACAGCATGTAGAAAAATTCCAAAAAAAATGTAACTGTATGTGCCTCAAACATGGCTTACAACTGTTATCAGTTATACTTGGTAATTATTGTAATTTAATGAAGAAGAAGAAAAATGTATAGAGATACAAGATATATCAGTGAACACATTGGTATCGGCTGATATTAGTGTTTTTTTTGTTGTTGTATCGATATCGGTCCGTTGAACAAATCTAGCCGATGTGACAAAACGATGATTGTCTAACATTCGCGCCTTCATCTCAACATTTGATATTGCTGCAGCTGTTTTTACTTAAACGGTCCTGGACTTGAACGTTAAATATGTTAAAATATGTTTAAATATGTTTTACTTTTGTTACGTAATAAAGAAGACTATGTGGTCTAATTTGGTATGGGCTTCTTTTGAATAGTTTTCACGTCCTCACAGTGCTAACTTACAATCATTTTTTGGTGTTAACAAAGATTGAATATCGACATCTTAACTATCGGTTATCAGAAATCTTAATATTGGCCAGAAGTTTTTATATTGTGCATTTACTATATGCATATATATACCATTCACAAAATAATAACCACCTTTAAATGACAGGCCTATAATGAAAAATTACAGGTTATCACCTAAAGAATATGAGAAAAATACAGCAAATTACAGTATATTAGAATTTGTTTGTTGTAACTAGTTAAACAGTCTGTAGCTTAAGATAAAATCCTCCTAACACTGAATGTATGCAAACTAAATGAGTTCTATTTTTTGATTAATACAGCAATTAAAATTGGATATGGTATAAAATAGTGTATAATTCGCTATATGTAACTTCATTTACTTATTTGTTTATTTACTGCTTGTGGAGCTCTAATACAGAAAGAAGCTGGAACCAGTATATAAAAAATACCCCCCAAGGTTTCATTTTGACTTGGATACTCCCAGAAGAAACCTCCCAACCCAAAACAAACAAACCAAAAAAAAAAAACAAAAAACAGAAGTGATGGATTCAGTGTCCTGAAAGGAAGTCCAAGCTGGCATAAGGAAGAGTGTTTATTTAGTAAATGAGGCTGGAATAAAGTCCTGCTTCCTACACTGAGCGCAAACACGCTTTGATAAGGCTCACAGTGAATTTCTGAGTAACTGCTGCTCAGAACCATCGCCGGACGTCTTATCTGTCCATGACGGAGCGTGAGCCCGGCTGACCCGGCGGAGGGGCGGGGTCAAGACATGGGGTGAATGGAAAGGGGGCGGGCGGCTCCAAAAAAATTACTACATCCACCCCCGCTGCCTCCTCAGTGTTCCAAACGACGAAGATACCACAGGACGTGTTGCTTCAAACCGTATCGAGAAGACTTGTTTGAGATTTATTGCTAATATAATATTTTTTTTGGTGCCAAGTTCAACCAAGGAAGAAAAAAAAAAAGCTCCTCTGCGATGGCAAAGGGAGAAGGAGGTGAACAATACTCCAACGCCAGTTTATTGAATAAATCGGACGGCATCAAGCTCGCTAAGAAGGTGAGTCCATTCATTAAGTCGATTTTTTTTTTTTAAATTTGGTTTCTGGGTTTGAATGTTCTCACCAGGAGGAGAAAGAAGCAGGTTTATCCGGGAGTATGAGCTGAATGAATGGAGGAGCTCACCGGCGTTTTAAACCGGTGACTCACGGACGTTAGCTAACTTAGGCGCGCGTCACTCAGTGTGATATTAGCGACACGTTAACTGTTATCTCAGAATAATTTTAAATGATTTAAATAGTCGATAAAAAAAAATAAACCCATCAAATATCAATAATTTAATTCAGAAAATCACTGCTGCTTTTTCTTCCAGAGCACCCTGCCTCTCACACCACGACAATTTTCAAATTGTTTAGCTAAAGAACTGTTTAGCTAAAGAACCACGGCTGACCGTTAAATGAGCAACTTTTAAATAGTTTTTGTTCGAAGGCTGTAATATTCAGGGGTTTTCTGTCCCCTCATCCCCCCTCCCTCAGCCACACAAAGCTAAATTTAAACCACGAAAATGCCACTTATGTGTCTTAACAGCTGCCTTTTAATCATAGCCACGTTCGTCTTATTTAGACGTTAAGCTAGCTGCTGTAATTAGCCGCTGGAGTTGCCTCATTTGCATAACAGTGTTTCGAATCAAAGGTGGAATTGAATCCATGGACAATGTGCAGCCGGGTTGAAAACGTGAGTCTCCATTTTTTTAAAAAGCGATGTAGGGTGATGTCGACTAATACCAACGTGACATATCTCAGCCTGCAGCCTTCCTATCAGTTTATATGGGATTCTGTCGCCTGATAGATAGGTGTGTTCACAATGCTGCATTCACTGACTCCTCTGAACTCCACCCCAGACAGAGGGACTTCAATATTATTCGCCTGTGCAGTTATGAATTTCGTAAGAAAAATCCGAACGAAGCAAGTGTAGAATTTGTGGTAACTGTGTCTGTTTCTGCTTCAGAAATAAGGCCACAATGATTTGCATTGCAAAGGGAAGAGGAAGACATTTGCATCAGCTTGTAAATTCAGTCGTGGGTTGTAATGGAACAGCATGTAATTATTATTTCTCAGTTATTCCTATGTTCTTTATCCCCTTACGTTACCTCTGTTACCACAGGAAATCCGTGTTAAATTTGAGATTTAGACTGCATTTCTAGGGCTAATTTCTATTTTTCCGATACCCGTGAATGCAACAGGGAGCACCCACCAAGGCGACGTGTCAGGCACAGAGGCTGCAGGCAGGAGAACGTTTCCTAAAATCCCGTCCAGAACGAGCCTTTCACATTCCTGCCTTGGCCTTTTGAAATAATTCACAGCGGTGCAAACGTGAACTTGAACCATCTTTACCACCATTGTGTATCAAAAACACCCACCAGTTCCAGGAGATGCCCCTGACCTGAGCACCTTATCAGTTTACAGTAGTAACATGTCATTGCTGGTAGCACAGATAGCAGGTGTTGTAGCCTTTGAAGCACCATTCATGCTATTCATGTTTACAAAACAAAGCAGTACCTCTTTACTGACTCTATTTCTTTGCCTACACACTTTTCCAACACATTCCTTATCCTTTCGTGCAGTTGGCATGCATAATTCAAAGCAAAGTACTATAAATGCATTGCTTGAAAGCTGTGCGAGGAGGGTGACATTAAGTCACTGTCACACTGACACATTCCTGTGTTACATGCAAATGTCAGCGCAGTGTATTTTTAAGACTAGGAGCGGCAGAAATGCATGTAGGCTTATGCATACAGGTATAACTGGAATTGCATAACGTGGAAAAAGAGCTGGACCTAAGGGGACATGTTCATCACATGGCAGGGTCAAGTTTGGTCTTTGAGACCTGGCATTCACATCCATGGAGACATGACCTCAAACACAAGGTGCAACTGCTGTAATGCCACCCATTGTGTCCATAATTACTCCTATGTTTTGATGGTGCTGGTTTTTCACTCCAGTCAGAGAGTGTTTTGTCACCTAAACAAAGATTGAGTTGGGTGCATCAACAAGGAAAATCACAGAAAAGTTTTGGACTATAGTCTGATCTAAGATGAGGCCATTTTATCCCTGTGCATATCAGTGACAAGGAACACTGAAATGTGCCTGCAGTTCCAGATTTTAATCTTGATGATGAAGCTTCTTCACTCCCGTTTTATGCTTTGACGTTATGTACAGTTGCTCTTTCCTTATTCAGCACTAGTACTTGAGAAATTCTTGGAGGCAAGGCAGGACCAAATGTAACTCTTTGATTGGTTAGGAGGAGGGTGTGTTTCCACCTCTCTTTGGGCAACAGCGGTCAAAACGCTGATCACACTGGCAGCCATCCCTGTGGGTATTAAGCCAGCTCAGTCTGCTGCCAAGGTGCTGTCACCCTGGCTTTTGGTGTGAGTGACACCATGATGTTGTCATGCCCTGGCACTAATCGACACAGATTTGTGTTGCTATTAGAAGAGCTGTTTAGAGTCTGTCTGTTGAGGAAATTATTACATCTACAGTGGAGAAAATAGGATAGAATGAGCGCTTGTTAGAGAACCAAGGGGTTCTTGTTTCCCAGTGGCTGTTCCTGACTCTTGCCAAATACACTGCACCATGGTTAGCTTTTTGTCAGCTGAACTCTTGGGCTCTTACGACTCTCACTCTGGTGATTAAGAATTTAGGCCACATTCCTCAAGAGGCACTGAAAAATAAAATGTGTTTTTAAATCAGACTATTGAAGGTTTAATTGTTCGGACAATGAATTGAGAAAGTAACCTGTTTGTAGGTTGAGGGAATCAAACCGTAACTTGCTGTATTGCAGTCACCCTGTTAGGATTAAGCTGCAGTTGTAGACTCTGGAGAATTGACCCCTCCTATAATTACAAGGGCCGAGCGCTGCCAAAGCCGAAGGAAGTTTACAGACAGCTGCAAATACTTATGGGCACTTTCTCCAGAAGTTTGTTGCTGTTGAATTTGTAATCTGCCGTTATTTGTCAGGTGTTATCTTTGTAATAGATAAACAGATCTCATGGATGGTACTTTGTCTACATTTCTGTACAATTTTGTTTTTATCCTGATTTCCTGTTTAGTTTTAAAATTAATGTATTCATTTTGCAGTGGATCATTTCCCTTTACTAACAGTGTGTCTTTGTTGTATTTTTCCAGCATGAGAGCAGGAACAGGTTGTCAATCTGCAACAAGATTTGCTATGCTATCGGTGGAGCGCCCTACCAGATGACAGGATGTGCCTTGGGCTTCTTTCTGCAGATCTATCTTCTGGATGTAGCTCAGGTGAGTAATGCACACACCTGTCCAGACATTTAGTGTCCCTTTCATAACACACAGCTGAATAAAGCCACCATTCCGTCTTTAAATGACCCCTTTATTGCCAATGGGAACATGGTGTACATCCTCAAATGCCCTTGCCTGTTCTCTGTCCTGTCCTGCCCTAAAAAAATTTGTGAAATGTGAGGTTATATTTACAGGCTTGAGGTCAAGGAGCTGTACCTCAAAGCACACGTCATAAGGGAACATACAGGACATGGTGGATATCAAAGTTTACTAACAAAGGGGGATGAGTGTGGTGGGAAAATGAAGTGGTGGAAAAAGTTTCTCTCTTGTTTCCATTATTGACTTTCTGATGACGCTCTGCTGTATCCAAAGGCTTACAGGGGCTTGCTCTGAAAAATGTTTGGGTGGAGGGACGATGGTAGTACGATAAGGAGGAGCTCGCTTTAATGAGCTCTGACACTAATCTGATGGTTAAAGCTGCGATAGCATGTAAGTCGTAGGCTTCCCAGGGCTTAGCTTTGTTCGACTTCTAACATTGTTGATTAAGAGTCCATTGGTTGACACAGCATGGCGCAGATTGTACAGTCAGGAGTCGGGCATTCATCGTGCCTGGCGTCCAGTCAAGCTTGTCTGCTCCGCACAGATGAACAGCAGACGGACTGAGCTGCCAAGTGGCTCCTTCACTGCTTGGCTTCATCCTTGTTAAGGGTTGCCCTTTGACTGCTGACTTTTAAAAAGCCGGGAACTAAACAATAAAATGTCAAGTTTTAGGGCTTCACTGCTACTGTTTAACTATACAACCACAGGGTACGAACACTGTCAGCTGACATGCAACGTCTAGTGTGGATGTTGTACTGGTATACGTGTACAATAACTATATTTACAGATGTGTATTTGTACTGCACAGAATATCCAATTTTTTATGTCTTCACTTTCACAGTTGGATCCCTTCTATGCCTCCATCATCTTGTTTGTTGGCCGAGCTTGGGACGCCGTAACGGACCCCACAGTGGGCTTCCTGGTCTCCCGGAGCCCATGGACACGTTTTGGACGCATGCTGCCCTGGTATGTTTCATTCCCAGCCTCATTCAGTGAGCTACAGTCTGTATGATACAGTTTGACCTGATATATTTAGCAGCTAGATCAGCACTTTAGAGCTTTTGTTGTGTTTTTTTTTTTTTTTTTTGACAAATCTGGGTAATTATCTCCACCCCTAGCTGTAATTGTCACATCTTTGACTTGACTTTGTTGATAAAGCCCAGTTAAGTAATTAAATCACTTAATGGGGGGTTCCGTTGCCCTCAGTGAGTCAGAGCTCAGAGTGGAAGATTTCCAACATCATGCTGTACTTGTGTCAGTGTTTGGAGGCGGGGCTAAGTGCTCTGACTGCATTGGAAAAGCCAGCATCTTCCCAGGAGAGGTTACTAGGGGTCATGCTGATGCAATCACCATTGTACCACTTCCTCATTGCTCACACATGCGTGTGCGTCCACTCATACTCCCCACTCTCTCTCTCACACACACACACCCACTCTTAACTGCTGCTATGCATACAGGACATGGAATAATCTACTGAAAAATGCTTCGATTAGATATATTCAGATTGAACACCTAAAGCCAAAACACAAATAAAGGAAGTCCCTGCAGGTATTATTCTTGCACATATCCCACAGCAAGGCCTTTCACATGGCATTGACAAATACAACACCTGCCTGCTTCCAAGGCTTCCTCATACAGGCAGCACACAAAGCATTTTTCAGGAGAACTTTCTGTTCAGATACTTGAATCTCTCTATGCTATTAGCTTGAATCTTTGTCTATGTGTGACGGCCAGGCTGAGGGAGTGGGAGGCCTGTGATGCTTCAGGCCTTTTTTATAGAAAGGTTACCGACCCTTTTTCTTTTTCTATATCCCCTACGTTATTCCATCTCTGAGCGTCCTGCATGGGTTTATTTCACCATTTGAGCATGAATATTGTATGACTTTTAAACTGTCTTTCCTGCATTGTCAAAAAGTGCAGACCATCTTGACCCATGTCTGAGGGGTTAGAATTCATACTGTTACGTGAGCAACTTGCGGTGTAAGGTGTCAGTGGAGCCGCTAGTTATAGAAGTGGTTGCCAGGCTGCTGTCAGCACAGACGAGGTTTTAAAGCTACTGTCCTGTTAGTACATTCAGTGCCTAATAGCATGATTTAGAATGGAAATGGGCCAGTGGCGTAAAAGGGTGTCAAAGAGAAAGGGAATAACATTTGAGGTAGATGCCTCACCCCACTGAGGCATCTTTATAATGAGCAGCACAGGGAGGTGCAGGGCTCAGTGCTCCACCAGCACATTTACTCACTTGCCTGTTTGATTGAAAACATAATCTCATGGGTACAACAGGACACAAATGGGAGATAAAGGTCCTGTGTGGTCTTCCCCTCAGTTTCCCATGTGAATGTTCCATTGGGTGTTCATACCACAAGAACACCTGCATAATTAATTTAGAACACAAAGGATATCTCCTGTTCAGAAAATGTTAAGCAATTCCTGAGAATGCTGAAAATATACCTCTCTGGTTGTAAAATCGTGCTGCAGTTGCAGAGAAGTAACTGGTTTTACAACAAAGGACCAATTCTACACTTGTAGTCACTGAACATCAGTATGTTATAGACTTATGATTTCTACCCAAAAAGTTATCATTTCATTCATACTTTTGATACACTTGTACATAAAATCACATTGAATTGCAACAATTGGACTAATATACTGAAGAGAAATAGTCTGCAGCTCATTATTGTAATTTGCAGCCCACATCGAGATGCTGATGTCTGAATTTCAAAAGTGGGTCATGCAGGAGGCTGCTTGTGCTAAGTGAGATATATCTCCTCCATTTGTCGTCGGAGATGGGATGTACGCTGGGGCTGTAGGAGGAGGAGGACAGGAATGGTTGGCATGTTCAGTCACATTACGGTCAGTTCAGACGTAAAGATGCAAGCAGATGAGTGCTGCACATGAGGGCTGGGAGGAAGCTGGACAAAGGCGGGCGCAGCGTTCCATCTTAAAAGCTCTGTGTTTAGGTAGTGGGGGGAGGGTGACTGCATGCATGCTAGCTTCTCATTGGTCTATCCCACAACACACCACCTGTCTTAGCCAATGGCGTGTCAGCTCTCAGCTGTGCAGGGCCCTGTGAGATTTTTAAAGAGTGGCTGAGGAATCCAGGAGGTTACTGCAGTTCATGTATCACTGGCTCCATACCGCAGAGCCACAAGTGACAGACATTGGATTTTCTATTACTTCCTAAAAATATAAAACAGATACCGAACACTTGTCTTGTCTGAAATGAATTTAGAACATTGGGGTGGTATTTGATTTAGTGATTTTAAAGAGTTTCATGTAGAGCACAGTTTAGTTTTTAATTTTACTGAGGTCTTTTTTTGGTCAGTGCATGAAACCATGAAGTCAAGGCCTAAGAATCAAAATGTGTTGCCAGTTTCTTCTTTTATTAACAGCTGTGTGTTCACCCGCCCAGCCCAACAATGTCTGCCAAAACAAGAAAAAAGACTTTACATATCGCTCTCGGCTCATAGAACACGTTTTCACAGTTAATAGATGTCAGACTAAAAGCTGACACCTGCTAAGTTAACTTGCACAGATAAAATCAGCCCTCCTTAGTCAGCACAGCTATTTCAGAGGAGATTTAAATTTAATTCCAGGAGGGAAGTTCAGGTCAGTACTTATATGGCCTGCTGTGTCACTGCAAGTCTTAGTTTAGCCTCCAAACACTGAAAAGATGGGACTTCTCAGGAAGCCTGTTTAAAAAAAACAAAAAAACAAACAAAGCAAGGTAATGTGTAGAGATTCACTTGTTGTGCTTTTTCTTCTCATTATTGATCCATCTATGTTGTGAGATATGTAAATAAATAAAAGGCATTTATTGATGTGTGAGATGTGTTGGTCTCATGTAGCACAGAGGAGATTGTCAATAAGTAAATGCACTCCTAAGTGTACTGTCATCGTCAGATAAAACATGTGCTTTAACTTGCCCACCACTCCCACTGTGACTTCACACAAGTGTACAGTTAATGACATCACATGCGTGAGAGAGCAGCCTAAATGCTGCTCCTCCTGACAGCTCTCTCTCTGTGAAGTACGTCAGTATTTTACGAGAAATCTGTTTAAGTTGATTGGCAATGAGTCATAAGCGAAGCTGAGCAGTTTGATTGGATATTAGTTTGTGCCTTGGACAGACGTTGCGTTATTGTGCTTATATACAACAATTGCATGCTTTTGCTTCTCATTGTGATGTGTGCATGACTTCATATCCTGGAAGATAAGGCTCGAACGTTTCCTGTACGGCATAGATCGACAAAGCAGGATGCTCTGAGCTGTTTCCGCTTCCACAAGCCAAATTTTTTTTATCCAGCACGGCAGAAGTGTGGCTGCACTCACATTCTTGCATCTGATTGGAGAGAGTTGATCTCACCACAGGAAGTAGGTTTCCAGAGGAAAGGCAGTGACTAAAGGAAGTTTTAGAATTTTTTCCTCATGATGTGAATTTGCAGGATGTTAGACAGTCACCTGATTGTGCATCATTGGGGTGAATTAGTCATCTTTAAAATTAAGCAAGTGTGCTGTTGTCTGGCAACATTCCCCAGAGGTATATCCGTCCATAACACTCGGATCTGAACATACTTGAAGTGCAACTTGTATCATGTGTGGGAACACCAAGAACTCGGTGCCCTAATAATGACAATCATTGTCAGACAGTCAAAGTGAAACACAGCTGAGGAGCAGTTGTCATGGCGGATAGAAAGACAGTTTAAAAAAACACACACAGTGTTATGTAATGAGGGGCCCCTATAGTTGTGAAGACTGGTAATTGTTTACAGAGTGAGAGAGATTTCACGCCTGAATAGATCACGTTTTCGTCCACTGATGTTGTTGTCCTCTCTCCTCATTCCTCTCCCCCTCTCTTGCCCCCTCTTGTCCATCCTGTCCATCTGTAGGATCCTGCTTTCAACCCCTCTGGCTGTGCTTTCTTATTTCCTCATATGGTACGTCCCTCCTTTTGAGAATGGCAAAGTCATCTGGTACCTCTTCTTCTACTGCCTCTTCCAGTCTCTTCAAACTGTGAGTATTGCACAAGAACACTCCAAATGAACACTCCCTTGTTCCACACATGCAACGCAGGGTCATGGCAAAGTAGTACTATGGTCCTACTATTTGCACTACCTTAGTGGATTTTAGTCATACATGCAAAGAACCTTTTACACTTTTAAAGCTCACTAATAAATCAGACAGTAGTAATATCTTTTTGTGTAATCCACACAGAAACTGATGTGTGAAAAGAACATTTTTGTCCTTCTCAGGGTCATTTGATAGATTCTTTCTTGACAGTGGACAGTAACTGCCTCATGTTCCTGCTGGTTTACTGGCAACAGCTTTTTTGCACAAAATACACAGAAGAGAGTGTCAATTAGTGAGTTTTAGGGATGGTGGTAAATGGACTGTTGCCTCTAGACAGAACAAGACTTGCCATTTCCCTTTTTCCTGTCTTTCTGCTAAGCTACGCTGACCAGCCGTTAATGATGGCCTCATATTTACTGTAAAGAAATGGGAGGACAATCCTCACCACTACCTCGGTGAAAGAGCCCAATTAAATTGACCAAAATGTTGATCATTTGTTTTGTCTTTACTTGTCTGCATGACCAAAATTGGAACACTTTTCTCACCTTGTTGCTCATTTTCTTTACCATCAGTGCTTCCATGTGCCATATTCTGCCCTCACCATGTTCATCAGCTCAGAGCAGAAGGAGAGAGACTCTGCCACTGCATACAGTAAGTATCACAGGAAAAAAAAAAAAAAAAACTTATCTCCTAGAATAATCTTATAGCAGACAGACATTGGGTATGTCACCTCTTTGCTAAACTTCTCTGATCTGTCTTCTCACCAGGGATGACGGTGGAGGTTTTGGGCACTGTGCTCGGTACAGCTATCCAGGGTCAGATAGTAGGCATGGCGAACGCTCCCTGCCTCCCAGGACCCGGTGACATCTTGGCAGACCTGAGCAACTCCTCGTCTGGACTCAATGAATCAGAACCTGTCATCTCCCTGGAGCACACGGTAAACAAGTTCATTTATTAATCCTGTGTTTGACAAGTGAAAGCTAATTGTCATTCCTTGTAGATGTTTGAATTACTATTCAAACAACAAGAGCTGATGGGAGGAAGTAGGACTTTAAAAAACAAATGGTGTTTGCTAACTGTTGCCTTTCTCTACCCCCCCTCACAGAGAGCGGCCTACATGATTGCATCTGGTGTCATCTGCTTGGTTTACATCATCTGTGCTATTGTTTTATTCTGCGGTGTGAGAGAACAAAAAGGTGAGACTTTTATCTTTCAGCCAAACTGACTCCATCCTCTCATCCCTTAAGTACCTAATTTAAGCTTTTTTAAACAGCCCAAGTCAGTGAAAGCTAAAAAAAAAAATAAGACCCTGAAAAGTTACCCTATTTCAGCTTCCTTATTGGTCGCAGATAAACAAATGTCTATCATGTGACGGAGCTGTTAGTAGTGTTTCTACTCTCGTCCAATAGGGATGCACAGTTACAGCTGTGTACTATGGTCTGACTGTGGGCTGACAGTCTGTGAGAGCACACAGGCTTTGGTTAAATTCGAAGCCTTGTGACTGGTGATTGGTCTAATAAGACACTTTTTATCCTGTAAAGGATGAGCTTAAAAGGCAGTTACTCATGAAAAATAAACTGAAAACCCAGGGAAGGGGACATCAAAAGATTCTGAGATGTATTCAAGTGGATCTAATTTAGTTAATTCTTCTCATTTTTCTTCCTTCCAGAGTCTTGTCGTCCCAGGTCAGAGCCCATGTCCTTCTTCCAAGGGATTAAGCTGGTGATGGGGCATGGGCCATACGCTAAACTCGTCATGGTCTTCCTCTTTACCTCACTGGCTTTCATGGTGCGTATAAGAGACACACACACTATTTATTCTGTAGTCTGGATTAGTTTATGTACACTATGTTTGTCATTTTTTGCTAACTCTATTTGCTCCATGTTTGCTTTTTGGTTGCTAAACGCCCCTTTCAGACAAACTCCTTTCTTTTCATCTGACACTCTCTGAACATGTCAGCTTCACCCTGGTCACTCTTACATGAAAGTTGCAATGGAACTGTTACTAGGTCGAAACTAGCAGCATGTTCATATCACCTGACACAGCACCAGCCTAAGGTGCATGCAGTCCCATTCACAGATAAGCAGTAAATATGCCAACATAATTGGTGTTGGTACTTTATTATTAGCAAGGTTATCTTTATTTGGTGATGTGAACATGTGCGTCATATTAAGGCTGCTGATGGGACTGTGTGATGGAAACATCTCCGCAATACAACACTTGATATGACGGAAAAATAATTAGACTGTAGTAAAATGATCAGACTGTATGAGCTATTGTTTAATTATTTGGCAGTGGACCTCAGGTTGAGCTATATCCAAGCTGGTAAACTATGACTCTGTGACAGCTCACCTGTCCGAAGTGAAGAGAAGTGACCTGCTGTTAGATCTGATCGATGCTGTCTCCATGTTGAAAAGCTTTCTATTAGTTTAGGTTTTATCTTTTGTTTATAAGTAGCTCCTTGGACCTTGATGTACTGCTAATTAGAATGCTGTCACTACAGCAGAGTGATGAAGACAGCAATGTCGTGTATGCCATGTCTGAAAAGGGCTTTAGTTCAACCGGTTCTTTTTATGTTTAAAGTTGGGAGTCTGTCACTGGTTTCTGCTCCTCGCCAGAATTTACTTGGCATCTCCAAAGTTGGCCCAAAGTGTTTGTGTTTGTTTGTTTAGGCAGTAAATATGACTGAGTGAGCCTCTTTGTTTTACCCTGCAGCTCCTGGAGGGAAACTTTGCTCTGTTCTGCAGCTCCACGCTGGGTTTCAGAAACGACTTCCAGAATATTCTGCTGGTCATCATGGTGAGCACACCCACACACACACATCCACAGGTGGTGATTCCAAACAAACACAGATAGGTGACACTGTTCCCATAGCAAAGACTACATTTCCCTCGGCATATGAAGCCGCCCATTTGTGTGGAACAAGTTACGACTTCAGAGTGCAGACAAAGGCTTTCCCTCCCAAGGCGAACACATAAATTGTCTTCAATTACAAGGCCGCTCTGTACTCTGTTATAAAGCAAGGCTCCTGGGTGACTCCTTCCATGATGTGTGTCCACTCTGACTGGTCTGCCTGAATGCCATCGCATTCCCACAGACAGTAGTGGAGCCACATTCACTTCTCCTTTCATGTCACAGCCTCCCTTTCACATCAGCTAGAAAAAACTTTAAAATCAAAGAATCCCTCGGCCCTCAGATCCTGACAGGTATTAAAGCCAATTAATCCATAGATGTGCTCGGCTCTCACACAGTACAACTGTGCCGACCGACGAAGTACAGGTTAGCGAGGTTGAAAAGATTACATGCTTTGAGCCTTTACTTTATGGAAAGGATTATAGAGGCAAGGCAGTGACCTTTTTTGAAGTACATTTATTTAGTGAAATGATTTTTTTTTTTGAGAGAGAGAGAGAAACTGCCCCTCATGCACTTTCCCATAATGAGCAGAAAGAGATCTGATTCTCACCTTCAGTAATATGGTGCGATGTCAGACTAATCTGAGCTGTTCAGATCTTATTAGAGCTAAGATAAGTTAGACAAATCAAATTACAGGTCTTATATAAGGACCTGTGTCTCAGACCGGTTGTCAGTTGCTGGATCAAAACAGCAAAGGTCAAATCTAATGAAACATTGTATGAGAGCAGCGCGGAGTTCATTAATAAGGGACAAACAAAAAGAACCTTGTGTGTCCTTTTTGCTGCTGTGAGGCACGTTGCAGGAAGCATGCTGTACAGAACATTGTTCTCCAGCCTTGATGCGCAGCAAATTAGCTAATTTTCAAGAACTGGGCAGTGTTTGGCCATGTTGTGCTGCTCAGTTTCATTAAGCAGGAAAACAGTGATTTCAGTTGTGAACAACATGCTTTACGAGGTGTGTTTAGAAGATAAAACCTATTAAATGATAATAATGTTTGATTTCGAAGGAAGGGGCTGATAAGGCTCATGGGGCTGAGGGAGGTGCCTGCAGGAAACTGCCATGGACTTTGGATTTTGAAAATGAACTGATATCAAGTGCACGTGCTGCTTCAAGATAATATATGTAAAAAAAAAAAAAAAAGAAATCTTCCACATGAAAATAGAACGGAAATAGAATTAGGATGCATGTTTACTCCTGGTACGACACCACATGAAACAGCTGTGAAAGCCACAGAACGATGTGATTGTAACACAGATGACTGCAGGGAGACGGAAGTGATGTGTGGGCGGTTTGTCTTTCAGTTTAGTATTTCGCTTGTATCCATAAGCAAATGTGGAAAAACACTGTTGCACAATGGCTTTGTGTCATTTTCACCTTAGCCAAACATGCAGGGGTCAGAGGCCCAATGGATCTGAGCACTCCCTCTGCTCCCTCCTGCAGAGTCAGACCATTACCTCTATGGAATTCTGCATTACATTGAGCTCAAATTTGTTTTGGGAAGAGCTGCAGAGGCCATATTGTCTTCCATAGTCACTGTTGTGTTTGGCAGATAAGAGAGGTCAAAGTTCTTGTGCATCACCACTTTCATGTCCTGTCAAACTCAGGCCGAAGCATTTTAAGAATGTTTCTAATATTGTGCTTCTTTCCTGTTATGTAACAGAGAGGCTGCATTAACCTGTTACAGAGGGTCTTTTGTGAAATTTACAGGAACTCATTAGAGTTTTGGCAAAACAGCTGGTTAACCAAACTTGAAATGTTTTTTCCCCTCTCAGCTCTCTGCTACTCTGGCCATCCCCTTCTGGCAGTGGTTTCTGACTCGCTTTGGGAAAAAGACGGCAGTTTACACTGGCACCTTGGTAAGGCTCGCAATCTTGTCCAAATCTTATGAAGCCTGCAACATTGGCAGGAATGAAATGTTAGTCTAGGAGTTCTGGAAAACTGCCGTAGCATCATTAAGAGGCTTGTTTCTGGAAGTAAATCTTTCAATGTGTTGACATCTAAATGTGTTCTCTCCAGTCTGTGGTTCCCTTCATGATCCTGGTGGTGTGTCTGAAGAGTAACCTGATTGTCACCTACATCGTTTCCTTCTTTGCTGGAGTTGGAGTGGCTGCAGCCTTCTTGCTGCCCTGGTACGACCCCTGCTGACTCTCCATCTGGTTTTCTTGTTTTTTTCTTTTTTTCATATGTGATTAATTCTAACTAACATTTTGTTGTTTCAGGTCCATGCTGCCTGATGTTGTTGACGATTTCCAAGTGCAAAACCCTGACTCCACCGGCCACGAAGCTCTCTTCTATTCCTTCTACGTTTTCTTCACCAAGTTTGCATCTGGAGTCTCCCTGGGAATTTCCACTCTCAGTTTAGAGTAAGAACTCACATACGCACAACATGTACTGTAAATTAAAAAAACAAAACAAAACAGTGATTCAGTCAAAATATTAAAGTCTACCTAAAGCTAAGTCAAATCTCTCGGCACCTAAATCCCACATCAAAGCAAGGAATTCCTTTCACTTCCATTAGATTTAATACAGTAAGGCTGAAGTGTGTGTGACTGTGCTGTGTGCGTGCATCACATGACTGACTGCACGAGTGCCTTTTGATCAGCGATTTTATTTTCTTCTTCACATCAACATCTCTTCTGTACTAAAAATATAATGAATGTTAGATCTCTACATAGTGCTTTGCAATTTCTAAAATGTCAAGTACTTCATGCACATTAGTCTCCAAGTTTATTTTCTGTTTGATAATTCTGTTTTTCCTTGTAGCTTTGCAGGCTACATCAGTCGAGGCTGCTCTCAGCCAGAGGAAGTGGACGTAACTCTGAAAGTGCTGGTTTCAGCCGCCCCCATCGCGCTCATCATAATTGGCCTCTGTATTTTGTACTTCTATCCAATCGATGAGGAGAGGAGGCAAGGCAACCGCAAACTGCTACAAGAACAGAGGTAAGGCTGTGAAGGACTAAAGCGTTTGTGTCTGTGTGCATCTGTGAAGGATAAAACTCCAACTGAAGTCTCTTGTGTTCTCGCAGGGAAAACGAGTCGGATTCAGAAACTGACTCAACAGAAGCGGCCAACGCTGTGTAGCACACTTTAGAAGACCCGCGGACCAATCGGGTGATCTACTGGCATTTTGCACTGGGCGGGACCAACGGACCTGGGCCTGTCGACTCGTACAGACACTGCCTTGTCCAGTCACACTGCTGCTGCTCCACCAACTAAACTTGATTGACTCAAAAGTGTAGTTGTTTCGGCCACGCTGAGGTCTTTGTAAAGACACCCATCCTACCTTGTGCATTTTCCCTGGCATGACAGTCACTGTTTTTTTCTTTTGTAAAGTCAGATCTCAAAAGCCTTACTTTTTTATAACTATACTTTTGAGTACTGTGGAAAAATCCTTTTTGTACAGATTGGTCTCAATTGAAATTGAAATTGCACAAAACCATGAAATGTGTTGGGAGCTTGTCAGCAGACCATTGGTGCTACTCGCTGGAGCTGAGCAGTTTCCATCCTTGTACATACCACATGGAACATTAATGACCGTGAACACTGCTTTTGAGTACAACGTTATACTTCTGACATATAAAATTGTGAGAAACTTGAACAGCGATAGCGCCTTAATTTCTGCCCCATTTTGGGGGTTAAAATCCAAACTGACAGAGCGTCAGCCACTTGCTCTCGAGTCATTGACTTGGCGTGTGATTTGAACACGTTTAAATGTGTTGTAGTTTTACAGTTTCTACGAGTAGTTTACAGAAACCTGCCAGCCAATCTGTCTCCATCTCATTCCCATCCACACTGGCTTCGTGTCTGTTTAGGACGAAGCCGTAATAATGTGATGTTGGAACTAGTAGCCAAACAGTAACAGACATGCTCTGAAGGGCTCGATTTAGTTCCTCGCCATAGTATATAAACCACTACAATAGTAAAAGCAGCTAGTTTGCACTCATCACTGCAATGTTTCTCCAACGTTTGCATTATTTACGATACTATTATTTATAGGACAGCTACTACAAGAACAGCGTCTCTTCTCTAATTGCTATATTTCCCTAATACAGATTAAAATGCTGGCAACAGCTGGTTCTAATTTAGTAATTACATTATTTAAATATTTATTAGTTTTGATTTTTACTCTTTTTTTTTTTTAATTAATGTGTGCCAGAAAGTCACGCTTCATGCAGTATTTAAACCTATTTAAGGCCTGTAAGGTTTTTCCAACTGAACTCAGAAGTTTCTAAGTGAGGAAAATGGGGTGGGAATCAAATTTTATAACATTAACACGCCTTTTAATGCATGTTGCTACTGTCTTTGCTCTATGTGCATTTAAAAAAAGGGAAGCACATAATGGTAAAAAAAAAAAAAAGAAAGATGGAGAAGTGAACTTGTTGTAGTTGGGTGTTTCCTGGATGTTTATTTTCTTTTGTACATATGTGTGTTTATTGAAGAAATAACCAGGATGCTTTGTGATCATCTCAATCCCTGTCATAAGAATGAGGATTGACATCTTTCATATCTATTGATATGGAAACGTGTACATGCAGTGTCATATGTTATACATACTGTTACATCTTTGCCATGTTGTTTCTGACAACTGAGTTGCCGATGTGAAGCTTTTTTTTTCTCTCTCTCCCCTTGTTTATATCCCTAGTAGAGGATACTGTACATGCCAACATGGTTTCATTGTCACTCACTTAACCTGTAATAATTGTACATCCTGTAAATCTCATCCCGTTTTATTTGGTCTTTTGTGTCTTGTCTTTTATGGATTTGTTTGTGAACGTCCCTTCATGACCCTGAGGCTGTAGCCAAATGTGTGAGCTTTAACCCCACAGGGGCACACAGAAGCCTTGTGTACATGCCTCCTGTGCATATGTGTATATATTGTACATGTAAACCTGTAAATATCTTTGATATTTGTGGCTCCAATTGAAATGAACGTATGTACACTGTACTGTAGTTATTTAAGAAAAATGTTGTGATGGAAAAAGATGTTAATAAATACTAATTGATAAGTGTACTGTGAACAAGCTGTCAACACTTTTCTTTTATTGAAACTACTTTTTATTGCAAGATTGAGTCAGTTTTATCAGAGACAAAAGTGCAGAGATTTAACCCTCATATAAACATGAAAACAAAAGCACAGTGTGTTCATAGGAGAGCCAAGGAATCCTTTATTGTTTGGCTTTTTAATGTATATTTTTGTAGGATCATAGCTTAAGTTCTAGGTCAGCTTAATGTGTATAACTAATAATACTGCAGGTGCAGTTATGTCATCTCATTTTTTGCATAGTTTTAATCAACATTTAAATGACAGAGGTAAATCCACACTATATCACTTCAAACACATTTAAACTAAAACATCAAAGCATTTTGACTTTAAATGTGCTTTATAAATGCTGGTGACTTAATCATGGATAATCAACTATAGCTAAATGCTTACAGAAGAAAGATATTGATACATGTGTTGATATTTATGTAGCTTCTTACAAACGCTGCCTGTGAAACATCTACAGCTATGCTCAACAGTATCAAGAGCAGCAGTAATATTTATTGAGTAAACTAGATGAAAAATGTGCATTTAAATAGACCTTTATATGTATCATTTTACATACCAATAAAAAAACTCCTCAGATTAATGATTATATATATACACACATATATATATCAAACTGTCCATTGATCTTTTCCTGACAGTCTGCGAACACTACGTTTTTACAGACACCATTATTCATAGTGAACCACTGCCATCTAGTGTTGGGGACTTGTGAAAAATACAC